ATTTTACCTGTGGATGATTTGAACTTTGCTATTTTACAGGCTGTTGGCTGTGATAAAATGCTGGATTCTTCCCAAAAAGAAGACAAGTGCCTGCAGTGCGGTGGGAATGGAAGAGCTTGTTTTGAAGTCAAGGGACTCTTTGATGTGCCCAATCTCCCTAAAGGTACCGCAGGGCTGTTTTAGTACCATAGATTAATATGGCAGACTTTAGACTAGGGTTGAGGTATAGAGATGTGATTGATGGTTCTTATTAATCTCTTTATATCTTTGAAGCTAAAGTCAATAACTGAAACTCAGGAAGGTTTTTTACTGTACCATGTCTGTAGTGTGATGCATTGAGGTCCCTGCCTTGTGCCATATTACATCAATTACATGCAAGAGTAGCTTTATGGGTAATATGAATACGGATTGAGACAGTTCAAAATCAGTGGAGTAGTTACAGCAAAATTTATATCTTTTCCCATGTAGCTGCTCTGCACGAAAGAGTGACTTTACCCTGGCTTCCTTCTCTATTATATTCTCTCTCAGAAAATGAATTTATTCTGGCTGATTTATTCTGCTCCTATAGGCTACAATCAAATCTTTGTCATTCCGATGGGAGCCACAAGCATCCGGATCAAGGAAGCAACCCCTACCAGGAACTTCCTGTGTAAGTAGTTGTTACTGCTCTTTGTATATGACTTCCATCACTTCAATTAGTTATGACTTAATGCAGGACAATATGGATCTGCATGTTCAGAAATATGACATGGGACCGTCATCTGGGTATTGCATCATTAATAACACGGATGGGAGACTACTTAATAATAGAATGCAATTGGTGTGTGCTATGAAACAAGGTTCTATTTGCAACAATATACCTGCAATAATATGTGTATTTTACATGAAGCAAGAGTCTTCATGACTTCTCCATCAAAATCCCATGGATGCCATCCACCTTTGCTTATTTGTTTATTTTATTATATTTTTATCCCACCTTTATTATTTTTATAAATCACTCAAGGTGGTGAACATATTTAATACTCCTTCTCCTCCTATTTTTCCCACAACAACCACCCTGTGTGGTGAGTTGGACTGAGAGAGAGAGAGAGAGTGCCTGGCCCAAGGTCACCCAGCCAGCTTTCATGCCTAAGGCGGGACTAGAACTCCCAGTCTCCTGGTTTGGGGGATCTTCGGGAACAAATGATGAAATTGCATGGGGACCATAAAGGGCAAGGCAAAAAGAACTGTCTCTTATCAGCAAAAACGTAAAAAATGAGGCTTGTTCATACCTCAGCATGAGAGCAATCAACATATATCATCTCAGGATGAGATGATTAATAAATCATCTCAAGGTTCCTTATAATGCTTTGATTTAATGATATGGCTTGAATGTTACTCACTGCTCTTTACAAAAATGGCCAAGGTTCTTTCATGTCAAATTTGCATCCTCGTAACTATTTACACATCTGAGTAGTTTTTGTGGCATTAACATGGAATGGCTTACCCATGCCTTCTTCTATGATATTTTTGTCAGTTTCCCAGGGCAGCTCACAGCCCAGGGATCTCCTTATAATCTGCCACCTGAGTACAGGTAGTCCTTGACTTATGACCACAACTGAGCCCAAAATTTCTGTTGTTAGACGAGACAGTTGTTAAGTGAATCCATTTTATGATCTTTCTTGCCATGGTTGTTAAGTGAATCACTGCAGTTGTTAGCTTAGTGACATGTTTCTTAAGTGAGTTTGGCTTCCCCATGGAATTTGCTTGTCAGAAAGTTGCAAAGGGGGATCACAAGAACCCAGCACACAGCAACCATCATAAATATGAGCCAGTTGCCAAGCGTCCAAATTTTGATCACGTGACCGTGGAGATGGTCCAATGGACGTAAGCATGAAAAAAATGGTCATAAGTCACTTTTTTTCAGTGACATTGTAACTTCGAATAGTCACTAAATGAAATGTTGTAACTCAAGGACTACCTGTATTTATTAAGTGTCTGGTGTTTTGGGGTGGGTGGGAATCAGTTATGGTTGGCTAAATACAATTACCATTTGAGGACTCTCAGCAAAATATCACACCTCCTTTTGTTTAGTACATAATATCACACCTCTCATTTTGTTTAGTACATAATAACCATTTCATATCTGGAGAACCTTTTGCAACATCAGAGTCTCAGAACTCTGTATCACCGTCTTTACATTTCTTTCCATTCCCTCTTTTTCCCCCCTAATCTCAGCCATCAAGAATGTACAAGGAACATATTATCTGAATGGGCAGTGGACAATTGAGTATAGCCAGGCCTTGCCTATTGCTAGCACAGTGATGCATTATGAGAGAGGTTCTGAGGGGGATCTGGCTCCAGAGCTTCTACATGCCCGGGGTCCCATCACCGAACCTTTGACAATTGAGGCAAGTACCTGCAACTGCTTTCCTGTTTACTTAGAGCAGTGGTTCTCAACCTTTTTAATGCCGCGACCCCAACCGGTCGTAAGTCGAGGACTAAACCGGTCGTAAGTCGAGGACTAAACCGGTCGTAAGTCGAGGACTTTCCCTGCCCGGGAGTGCCACACATGCGTGGTTCCGCCCCCTGCGCCGGCCGAGGCGTAGCTGGCAAGCGGCAGAGACGGAGCAGGCCGACCACCAGCTGGCCCAGCCCAAGGGAGGTAAGGCACCCGGTGGAAAGGGGGGGAAAAATGGCAGACAAAAAAAATGGTGGACAGCCTTGCTTGGCGACCCCCATGAAATGGTCGATCGACCCCAAATGGGGTCCCGACCCACAGGTTGAGAACCACTGACTTAGAGGTTTTAATGCCTGAGCTGTGCATAGGTGTTCCAGATAATTCTCCAAACAGAGGGATTCCACAGGGTCATAAAAAAATAAAATAGATTGATGGGGAACTTTTATTTCTTGACTGAACAACTATTAGAGTAGAAGAGAACTGGGTTTGAGGCTATCTCTATTTCATGCAGAGGTCAAACAGTGAATGGATAATTTATTTGGCATTGCATTAAGATCACATTAGTTCCTCATTCCTTAACCTTAACAGTAATGCTTAGACGAAACAAGAATTTTGACCCATTTGGAGGGCACAAGTCTGGGGAAACTACAGTAGTTTAATAATCGCTTCTTGTTGAATAAAGAGGAAATGTCAGCTTTCTTCATTCCAGCAAGAAATCACTTTATCCTTTGTACTGTAGATAAAGTATTCAAATGTTGATTGATCAGAGTCAGGAAAGAGCAGGAGATGAGTAGCAGGCAGAAAGGGAATAACTTTGGCAAGGATCTGAGTGGTGTGTGTGTGTATGTGTGTGTTTGTGTCTGTATGTATATCAAGTCAGTTTTTGACTCCAAGCAATTGCCTGAACAAGTCCCTGCATTTTCTTGGTAAGGTTTTTGAGAAGTGGTTTGCCATTGACTGCTTCCTAGGGATGAGACGGAGTGATTGGCCTAAGGTTACACAACTGGCTTAAAAGACTAGAACTCACGATCTCCTGGTTCCTAACCTTATGCCTTAACCAAATTGGCTCTGAGTGATAGACATAGTTTTCACAAATGGCAGACAAAGTTTGTTTATTTATTTAC